ATGAACATCTTCTACATTAAGACTCAATTTAGTTTAGACAGCAACAAAGCTGTCTCTTTGTTTACCAATTCCGAAATTTAAAAAAAAAAAAAAACTAAACTGTGCGTTGTCTCCCAAAAAGAGAACACTTTATACAGGTGAAAATAAGATTAGTGTATTATACTCAAAAACCCCTACAACTTTAACCTTTGACTTTTTACTACCTGAGCGTAAGCTAAGAGATATTTTAATCGAGTCCATTGACCAACTCTCTGCTTTATCTTCTTCTTGACCTTTCATAATAAATAAATAAAAAATAAATCCTATAAAATTTTATATTTTTTTAATAAAGCTAGTAATGTGTTATTGTCCTTTACAAATGAAGCAGGTTCTATCGAAATATTTTGTTCTATTTGTAGAGAATATTTTTTCTGAAAACTTTGATTTATCATGTTGTCATATTTTGTTAAAAAGCCGTGTTAAAAAATAATTTAATTTTGAGTCAAGATGGCTGTAATTAATTTATTTAACACGGTTACGTGTTTGCGGATACAAATTTCTTTTTTCATATCAAAATTTTTGTCACACAGTTTGATAATTTTTGTAACTTGTACCGAAAGAAGAATTTAAATTTGAAAATTAAATTTCTTCCATACGAAAATGATAATTTAATACTAAGGTTTATTACAAATGCATATTAAATTACTTATGTTTGAAAGTATTAAATTATGATGCATCCACGAACACAGAAAAAAAAAGCCTCCACACTAAAAATAAATAGAATGTCATTTAAAAAAGTGAATGTTGTAGACAAAAACTAATGGAAGTGAAAAATTATTTTTTAAAATAGGATCGTAATATGCTTAAAACAATATAATAATATGACAAGATTTCTCTAGCTTACGCTCGGGTTGAAGAAAAATTAGAAAAAAAAAGAAAAAATAAAATATGGAGAAACTTACCGGTATCGTTGCCGGTGCCCCCTCCTTGCTCCACTTTAAAAAAAATGCGTCGTTCTGTAACATTGACAAAATTAATTATTTGCTGATACGAAATTCGAACCTCACCCATTGCTTGATTGTGTCAAGCGAACTGACGAAAAATCACTAACGCACCACTAACTAGCCCTCCTACCACCACCAAAACTATCCTTGAGCTCTCTTAAGTGAACGATAAAATTTCGCTGGATTAGTCAAAGCACAAGGTGTCGCTTATTATAACTGAGAAATAATTTATATACTTCGAAGAGTATTTTTTTCACGGCATATGACATAAGAGGGCATGTTTATTTATGTGGTTGTCAGTTGCCACATTTTAAAATTTTTCAAAAATATTAAATATCGTAAGTTTCTTAGCGACCACAGCACGTGCATTTGACAACGTTTAGTTAAAACTTTAATATTTTATCGCACGATGAGTACAAAATTACTTTTACCACCCATCTATTATTTGGTGGGGTTTTAAAACGAATAAATAAACATTGTTGGTACATATGTTAACTGGCAAATTTTTATTTACGAACACAGTAATATATCTCACATGTTCCACTTGATTTTGACATGCAACATTTTTTGTTACATTAAGAAATAAATACGTAACTAGTTATTTAATTGCGTGTGATGCTAACAAAATTTCTCAAATTAACAAAACCGTTGGAATCTGATAATGCAATAGAATTTTTCGAGAAAGTATATTAGATGTGTTTATCTTTTGAGAAACATAAGCTACTTGTATGAATTTTTAAACATTTTAAACAGAAACTTATGCGACTATTCAGCACATTGAATGACATAACATTGGAAACATTTTTAACAATAACGCAACAAGCTTAAAAATGGGTTTTCAGTGATGTTCGTTCAATTATTTATTTCTTTTTGTATTAATTTTAAAACTACGACAAAATATTTTAGAGTATTAAAGTCTCACTAAATATTTTGCAAAGTCAATTTCTTTAAAGTTATACTAGGTACAAGAACGTTTTAATGAAACATTTATTTCTATTTGTAAACAAACTCATTTTAGGGTAATCCCGTTGATATCATTATCTCTCTATTTAACTACATGGACCGGGCGCGGCGCTTAGATGCAGGGACGTTCCACATGAAGTTGGCCGAGATGCGGAAGATTTTTATTTATTGTAACTTAATCACAGACATTTGTAAAGTCATTGATGAAAGCAATATTTCTGGCAAGAACTTCTCAACATGTTACGTATTTCTAAACTAAATATTATTAAAATATAATACTTAGGAATAACATAAACTGAATTGCAATTTTTTCAATCGAAATTACCATAATATTATGACTTTCCAGCGTTTTCTGCAAATTGTATGGTTCATTTACCACTAGAACTTGCATTAAATTAAGTAGTGCAAACATAACGAGCATTATAGTTTTACAAAGTAATTAAAAAGACACAAATTTCCTTCATTAAGAAAATTACCTACTAGTGAAAATCAAAATAGTATTTTTACTTTTCATCAAAAATTTGTGTTATTATTGCAGCAAAAATATTTATAACTTACAAAAATGCAAATGTCTTTGTACACTTTTTGTTAAATTCGTTAAATTTTGTTTGTTTATTTTTCTTGAACACAAAAAATCGGAATCTGTTTCATGAATTTTGGAATTTGAGCTTCACAAATCTTATTATTATGTAGCAATTTCGTAAAAGTCAAAAATAAAAAAGTGGCCTTTCGTCCGATGGACTCGATTACTAGGTATACTTCCTTAGCTTATGCTCGGAAAGTAAAAAAAGACGTACACATATATTTGGATTTTTTATGAAGCAATAACTTTGTTTTGGATTTTCAAAATCATTAAATCTAAGTTAATTTTTTATTTACAATTCCATCAGAAAACTTATAATCACATCTAATAATGAAAAATGGAGGATCGCACACTCAATGACTCACTCTGCATATAGCAGAAAGTAAACTCTTATACGTTAGCAAAACATTTGTGAGAATTTAACGTCGCGCTGATTTTTGTGTCATGTTATAATCTCAAGTGCCGAACATGCTTAGTCAGTGTCTCGCATTTTTATGAGCCGGACCTTGAGTTTCGAAAATAACCGTTCTGTTTTGTGCAACTCTGCTCGTGTTTTTGCAATCTGGTTGATACAACCATGTATGGTTTACCGAATTGTACTTTGATATTGCGCGAAGGACCTTTGTTCGTTGTATTTGCAATAATGGACAGCGTTCGGTTTTGATGTTTAATGTAGGACGGTTACAGAAGTACTAAAATTACTTTAAAAGAATTACCTGGCTCCAGGTGGCCGTCTTTAAAGGGTAGCTTTACTATAAACCTAGCGGATGCATCTCGTTTAAAGTTTGCCGAAAAATGATTTTCGCATAATTGTTCTTCTTTGGAGAGAGGCTTACTCATGGGTATTTCCTCAATTTGCCACAATTTGGCTACCTGGGTTTCTAATGAATTAAGTGCCACATTGCACGATACCTGTTTAATCCTTTCCGGAATTTTAAGTTTACCACCGAAAACCCAACCAAGTTTTGCTTGTCGGAGGGACGGTAAAGCTGTACCAAAACTTAATGAACCCGCTAAAATTAGTTCCAAAAAAACTTCGTTGCTAATTAGTAAATCGATAGTTCTAGATTTATGAAATTCAGGATCAGCTAACTGGATATTATTTGGAATTTTGAATATTTTATGCGAAAAATCGAATGGCGGGGTGTTTCTTGTGATCTGGTCTAGAATTGTAGCTGTGTAGTAAATGAACTAACTCTGGATTTGATTGTAACGTTTACACTATCGTTAATAATTGTAGGAGATGAATTCTGAAGGTTAATTCCTGAAATTTGCACCTTAGTCTTATCAGCTAAAGATTTTGTATAAAATGTGATTCCGATTCTCCATCTAATAAGGTACGACAGAAATGATAATTGTCATACTTGTCCTTTTTGTATACAAGTACAGTTGATAACAATACTTTAACACGTTCCTTATCGACACTACATTAGCACGTGGACGTTCGAAAAGAAATAATTTGAATTTCGTTTTATGCAGAGTTGACTTGTTTAGAATTGTACATAACGTGTTTCCAAAAATTTATAAATGAGTCAGATTATTTTAGTGAACTGCTTACTCCATTTTCCCGAAAATTTGGAAATACAATACAGTTACACTGTATCTATCTATCCAAATTAATGCCCGTGTCCTTCGAAAAATATCGATGACATGTTCACAAATGCGTAGTACCCTTTTTTACCTTAATTTTAATTTATACAGATATGCAATATCAAATTTTATAATTTCTCAAAAAAGTTTGTTTTATTACACTTCAGGAGCGAGGGAAAGTCTGTCGAAATTACCTTCGTCCAATTTTTTGTTGTTTTCAAATTAGTTTCCAAAATATGAGTTTTTTTCAGCCCGTACTAAAATGGAAGTGATTTTTACACGTGCACAGAAAAGTTTTATGAAAATGTTGTCATTTGTGATGGCTATTTCAATTTATAAATATTCTTTATTAAATATCAGCACTAATTTAAGGCAAATCTGACAGAATACTAACCGCTATTGCAATGAATAAGTTTACACCTAAGTAGATCAGAATTCATTCATTTCAAATTTGGCTAGGCCAAGCCACAGAGTGTTTTTAGTCCAAGAGCCCACGTGTTTCATGCACTTCGTAATTTTACCTGGTGGTTCCGATGGTGCATACGGAATAAATAATGAACGGTGTGCCTGATCTATCGTGGAACACCAGGTAATGGGCATAGGGGATATGTGGGGAAAAAATCTTGCCAAAAAAATTCTTTTTTTCGCCAGCCGTCTTAAAAGATGTCACTTTTAACGTCAATTTTGGACGGAAAACTTGACGTTTTTGTGAGAGTAAAAAAAGTTGCGTTACTAAAGTAACAACGTCATTTTTGCCTTTTTAATCCTAGCATTAATTTTTTTTTTTAATCCTAGCCTTAAAAAGTTTTCAATTGTTTTATTTTGAGAATGAAATGCTATTAATATTTTCCAATTTTATTATTAACCTTACATTGTTATTAATTATTTAAATTTTAAAATTAATATTGAATGTACAATAAGAACAACTGCGATTGATTTGGATTAAAGATTTTCCGTCACTATTATCATTTTTCATGCGGTCAGTAATAATATTTTGCGCTAACACTTCTACCGCTCCTGCTGTCTGGTTGGTCACAGTGTCAAAATTCAGGTTTACTGCTCCCACATTCCTACTTATTCCGTCTTCACGTGTGATCATTCTATTCGTAGTTCCACTACTTGTACCTGATTCTTCTAGGTTTACTTCGCTCACATTCCTATTCGTTGCGTCTTCATGTATTTTACTTGTGGTTTCACTACTTGTACCTGGTTCTTCCAAACGAAAAATTTTTTTTGCTACATCTTTTTTGTGTTTAAGAGACTCTTCTATGTAACCTTCGGCTACACTGTCAGATTTCCACCCACCGTGCCTCTTGAGGGACGTAATATCACCGCCAGAATCCACAAAAAGCGTGGCAGAAGTCCGACGTAGGCAATGTCCGCTGTATTCTTTAAAGTTTTCTAGCTTTAAATATTTGGCTACTTCTTGGGGTACACCACTAATTTTATGAATGCCAACTACTTGTCGATGGCACATTCCGTCGACATATTTAATAAAAAACCGACCTTCATTAAACATTTTTGGACGAAGCGCAACATACTTTTCGTAAAATTTCAAATACTTTTCCCCCATAACCGTAAATGATCTGGGTTTTTTCGTTTTGGTATCAGGAATTTTTACCAATAAACCTGCTTTAATATTTTCAATATCTTCAGTTTTTATTTGTAATAGTTCGTGACACCGACAAGCTCCGCTAACGCCAAAGATTACAACAATCTGAAAAAAATTCGTAAAATAAATATAAGCTCTTCATTAGGTTATAAACATACTTTCATCATCAGGAATTTGAAATCCGGAGCCGTGTCTAAGAAAACTTCTATTTGTTCATTAGTTAAAACCCTTGATTTCTTTGGAACGTATCCTTCTCCTTGTTTCTTTATAAACGCTTTTAATTTTGAATACTTTCCGATTTCTATGCCATTTTTTATATTTAAAGTTGCTTTCACCATGGAATACTGCGACCACAGTGTGGATGACTTCATTTTTGTAGCCAATTCGGAAAAATATACCAATAGGACGTTCTCAGAATAAGTTTGAATCTTTTTCCCTTCGCACCATTTGATGAAGCGGGTATACGCGCACTTATACACTTCGCGCGATTTTGTTGATAACAAGTTCAGTACCACGTTTTGTGCTTCTTCTAGCACATCGGGAGGTAACTCTTCTTCAGGATTCATTATTAACACTGCAAACGTTTTCACAAAACAATGGTATGTAAGCAAACAAAAAAAGCCTTGACGACGTGGATACCAGACTACTTTGCAGATTGATTCATTTCTGCTCGATATTATTGTTATCAATATTTTGTATTTTTGAGATTTACTTTTTGGCTGGCGAAAAAGTAGTATGTTTCATTCGGATTAAAAGTCAGTTTTTGACTCGCAATTTTGCATCCGCTCGGCTTCGCTTCGCTCCGCCTCGCAAATGCAAAATTTGCTCGTCGCAAAAAATGGCACTTTTAATCCTAATAAAACAATCTACTATTTTGTACACGCTCCCAAAAATGGTTATTTTAGGGATTCAAAAGTGTCCGTAAAATGAGTCTTTTTCGTACTAGTACGAAAAAGTTGCCATGGCAACTTTTTGGGACTGAATAGTAAAAACTATAAAAACAATAATTAAATAACCACATTTATTCCAAAGGAGTAGATACAACAATACAATATTTATTTCTCAAAATGAAAATGGAATGAACAGTTTTGAGCTCCCTGAAAACTGTTGTGTCCAAACGAAATACTTGAGGAGCTTGAAGGTATCAGGCTGATGTCTCTTGATGTCGTGGAAGTAGCTTCAGTAGTAACTCATAGTGTGTTAGTCGATGGTTCGTTTTGCTTTTCTCCCAATAACTGTCTGCATACCTTCTTCTTCCTTTCAACAGATTCTTCTATATATGATTCTGCGACAGAAGACGACCTAAAGTTTGTTACTATTTAAAAGAAAACAATAATTATATTGCAAAAAAATTACTTCCGTCCTCCTAGCCGTTTCAGGGAGATTAAATCAACAACACTATCAGCCGCCAGAGATGCAGAACTTCGTCGGAAGCAATGCCCTGTATATTCCTTGGGATTGGGCAGGTTAAGAAATTTAGCAACAACCGAGGGCATTTTCGCAAAAGAATGAATTCCTACACGTTGGACAGTGCATTTTCCATTACGATAACAAATGAAAAAATAATCGTGTTGAACTGTCTCGGGCCGTAATCGTAAAAACTTCTGGTATAATTCCAGGCCATTGACAGCTTTGCCTTTAGCTATCACTGAAAAGACTCTCTTAATGTTGCTCTTAATATCAGGAATTGTTATAATTAGACATTCTTCGTCTTTTTGGACAATATCTTGAATTTTTAGTGAATGTAGCTCCTCACGCCTACATGCACCACACACACCAAAAAGAAGGGCAACCTACAAGATGAAAAATAAATCTATCTGATACATAGAATATTTTTTAAACTTACCTTTATTAATAAATATTTCATATCCTCTGCATTTGTCAAAAATGTGTCAATTTCTTGACGTGTCAAAACTTTTGACTTCGTGGGCTCGTATCCTACTGAATTTCTCTTTAAAAACGCAATGACTCTGGAAAACTTGTTTATTTCAATATTTTCTTTGACAGACAAAACAGCTTTAATCATTGAATATTTTGACCAGAGAGTAGGTGGTTTTACTTCTTGTGACTGTAACAAAATACGGAAATTATCACGATAATCATGTGTAAGGCTTATAAATATTGAACATAAAGGCGGCACTTACCTTTTGATGAAGATAATTTAACATTACATCTTCATCTACTACTACAATTTTTTTTTCTTCTTTCCATCGTAGGAATATTTGATATTCCTTTTCGTACAATTGCTGAGACTTCGCTGGAAGTAAATCCAGTACGATTTCTTTTGCTTTTTCCGTAATATGTGCGGGATTCTGCATTTTGTGCAAAAAAATGTCAGGTTTTTTCGTGTTTACAAAACACTGTAGTTACTATGGTGGCAGCCCACTAGCCCACTTTTCAATAAATATTTGCTTCGGTTGTCAAAATTAGTCGTTTTTATAAATGGTTTTTAAGGTGTTTTGGGAGCTTGAACTCATTTGCTAATAGCAAAATTCGTCCCAAAAAACTATGTTTTAGGTACTTGTAACAAAAATAACTATATTAAAATCATTTTTAAGCCAACAAGGACATTTCAATAACTGAGTTGGTTTACAACAAAAAATAAAAATCAAAAAAGGCCGACGGATTGGAGGGGGTTAATTTAGAAGCAAACCAGCCTAAAGTTGTATTGCTAAAAATCCCAAAAAAAAAATTCTTGATTCACAGTGAAAATTTAATAACGTGTTCATTATTCATATTAAAAAATATGTGCAAAAGGCCGACAGTTTGGAGGGGGGTAAGTTAGAAGCAAGCCACCCCAAACTTGTATTTCTAAAAATAAAAAAAATGCTTGATTCACGCTGAAAATTTAACAGCGTCAAGGGGGAGCTGAAGTAGATTTCGGCATAGGGACAATAATGTAAAACGGGGCACGTGTTTTACGGAAAACCCTCAGTCCAATCACAACAATGTTTTGTATATCTATATAATCTACGGAAAAAACTATTGATCTGCGTTGTAGTTTTTTGAAAGAACTATATTTGGACGAACTTTTTAATTTAGAATTCCTGAAATTTTGAGTGTTTTTATAATTTATGACTTTTTCCAAATTTTACTTGCAGACATCGTATTGAATTTACTTTGGAACAGAAATGTTTTGGAAAAATCAAAATCGGATAATAAACTCTAAAACACATGTCGAACAGTGTTAGATTTCGTAAATAGTCAAATAAAAATAGTTCAGTAGCTAAACACTTTAATATAAGGAACAACTTAAGACAGTGTCATACACCCGAAAAGACCAAACATAAGTGACTCATTATGCATATATCGCGCATATCCGCCAACTTGGCCTTCGACACATGGATCATATTTCGCAGATCGGCGCCAGGGGATAGACGAATGTGGGCGTCAATTAAAGCAATTCGAGAAGAACTCTAATAACAACAGATTCGGAAATATTTTTCAAGTTCTGTGGGATGAGAGCAGGTATACGCCTAAAGAGTTTAACGCCATCACTCATGGATAAACGGATTAAAGTGAAAGGCCAATAATGTTATTATTAGAGATGAGCGATACCGTGATTTTGCGATCACTGTGATCACGGCGACCGTTCCTTTTCAATCACGGTGATTTTAAACCGTGATTTTGTCACGGTGATTTCAAATGGTGATCTACCAAGTAACGGCGTGCGACGAATGTGACGACTAAAACTTTGATCACTGCTCCGGCGTGAACCGTGAATTTTCACTGTTATTTCTGGTCGATGTGATCATTGTTGCCAGTTTTTTTTTTTTATGGTCGCATATTCAAATTTTCTTTTATTTCGAGTTAGGTTCCCGTATTTCTAATTTTACGGCAGTATTACAACATAAACACAATTTTCTAATAATATTTATTCATATTCATCTATCATTTCTACAATATAAAGTATGTTGTCCCTATCATCTTCATCTTTTTCGTAAACATTTGAATTAAAATTAAGCATGTCCTAAGGAGGATTAAAATCTCTACAACACATCTCTAAACAAGAAAAGTACGTTCTAACTAGCATTATCGCATTTAACAAACTCAACTGCATTTTATTTCTTATTTTGCACTTCACGATGTTCATAATAGAGAAGGTTCTCTCTGCAACAGCATTAGAAGTAGGCAAACTTAACATTGTGACGGCAAATAGTGAAATGTCGATGAACATTGCGTAACCAGCTGCATTTTTTATTGTAATTACTTTTCTCCAAAATATTTCTGAGTCTGTGGGTATACCACTGTCAAAATATTCGTTCCACTTAACAGTTATTAAATTTCGATACTGACTTTCAATGTCACTTAACCCTTTGCAGCACGAATTTCGAAAAAATTTAAATTCGACAATAATTTTTGGGTTTTGTGATCTTTTTGTGTATCTGTTAACACCTGTGTATTCAAAACATACTTTTTTCAAAATTTTCCAAAATTTTGAGTGGTAGTTGAACATACAAACCACCATGCCATGGGGGCCTAAAAATAAAAAACAAAAATTTTCAAAATATTTTTATTTGGCATGGAATTCCTTAAAACAATTTCTTGTTTCTGTCAAGCAAAGCGCAACTTTGCATGTAGTGCAGCTCCACTTGGATCTATGAACGTCAGTCTTTGTAGAGCAATGAGCACACCTTCGTGACGTTGTCCTTTCTGGCATATGCTTTTTGAAGCCTGATTTGATATTAACCGGCGTCATAGATTTTTCAAATGCGACACCTACACATTCGGCGACTTGGTATATTGTGAATGGTACTCCAGGATGTCTTAGCATCCATGAATCTATCGCTGCGTTATAGAAAGCTTTGAAGGAGGCATAAACTGATACGTCTAGGGGTTGGAGTCTGTTCGAACAGTGCGGTGGCAGCGTTAAAAGTGTAATTCCGTGCTCTTTTGCTAAATTTATACAATCAATGGATAAATGGGTTTCATGGTTATCCATGATAAGTAATGTCGGTCTATCAACAGAACTTGAGGTGCGTTTAATGAAATGTTGTATGACATCAACAAACAGTTCACTCGTCATCCATCCACTGGGATTAGCTAACCCTAGTGTTCCTGCAGGAGCCCCATGTATCATATGGGTTTTAAAGTGAGTTCTTGGGAACACCATAACTGGAGGTACTGTTTTTCCTAGAGCGTTTATAATACAGCAAGTGGTTACTAAACTACCACGTTCACCACTCGTACATTTACTTATTTGTTTTACACCCTTCTGTGCTAAAATTTTATTGGATCGTTGGACCGTCGTTGTTGCGGTCTCATCTATGTTATACACCCGACTTCCATCGGAAAAACTATCACATCGTTGCATGACACGTTCTAAATTATCAAAAAATGTATTTACATTATGATGATTAAAAGATGTTGCTCGTGATAAACTGCATCCTTCTGGTTGCCGAATACTTATATTGGAGTGACGTTTTATAAAAGCATTTAACCAATCTACGCCAGCTTTTTTGTTGTCCTTCCATGACTTAGGAACATTAACGTTATTAGCAATAGCTAATTCATAAGCCAAGATTCTCACATCTTTTGTCGATTTTCCGTAGCACATCTTTGAACACTGTAAGACATAATTAACCAACGAACTTTCCTGCTCATCGGTAAAAATTCTTCTTGTATCATATTTTGGTTTCATGCTTATTGATTCATTTGGAGATTTTTTCTGTTTGTTTACATAACGTGCCAGAGTTTGAAACTTTACATCATTTCGCTCTACAGCTTCTCTTAAACCCATGTGGTTTGATATTACATCTTTAACGGCATTTTTCATTGCAGCCTCAGTGAAAAGTCCCTTCGTACTTTTTTTTTTCTTCCCCTGGACATTTTTATTCTGAAGTTTAATAGTTGCATGCAATATATTATCCAAAAACACGTACCTAGATAGAATAATGTTAGCATGCACACATATACCAACCACATGGGCCACTGTGAGACAGTCTCATAGTGGCCCATTCATGTGTGTCTCAAGGAAGCCCAAAGACGTGCTTCTTTGAAACGACAGTTATGATACTACCTCACTTTTATATCACCTTTTTTTTACAAGAATCAACACATGTATAACCTAGATGTTTCACCACGTTACGGCAATATTATACAAAGTTACCAAATTTTTACTTCGAAGTAATATCCGCGAGAAACTTACCTTGCCCACAAAAATGAAAATTAATATATTTTCGGTGAATGCAGAATTTTCATACGACAACTTGTGATTTGCGCAAGAAGACTGTCTACCACATTCGACACCTACTGACAAATTAAAATACGCGCGAACTTTGAAATGACAACCCTTGTCTCATGGTGCGCGTGTCTTAAGGTGGCCCATTCTCCCCTACTCATCTCGTAAGACAAATGATGAAGACCAGTAATCCCTGTAATATGGTAATCTTTTTACTCCCATGAGTATATTGATCCCCAAAAATGTTTTCGGTTCTTCTGCTGTGGTGGGTGCAATGCTTTCACCACCAGATGTTTGAGTATTGAATAAGTTGGTTTGAAATACCAAATGTTCGATTAGTTAAGCGGGAAGTAATAAAAAAAATAATTCCAATGGATTTTCCGCTTCAATTTTTGGTCCTGCATGTTCTTCGAAATATCTATGGTTATCCACATTAGGATAATTTTGAGACCAAAATACTCCTTCTCTGTAAAGTATTTCGGAGAGAGGAATATCGTCCTCTTCAGATAATACATCTTCACTAAGATGATACCTATTTTCAGACACATTGTTTTCGTGGTTCACGTCGTTGTTCGGATCTAAACAAATTGTGCATAAAAAGTTAGGTCTGATTTTTAGATATTTAAAAATTTAATACCTAGTTCCATATTATTTTCATCAATATTGATGTTATTATTGTCTATTTCTCCATCTAGATGTAAAATCTTGTCAGGTTCAACAGTGTAAGAACCAACAATGTCGTCTTCGAATTCATATTCCTCTTCGTCTTCTTCTCCATCTATCGATTCTGGATCAGACGGGATCTCGTCAAATTCATCATGAAGCTGTTGTAGACGAGCTTGTTCTTTCTCGTAACAAGACATGGCAAAACTAATAAACGATATGGCATAGTGGTATAATAACGTAACCACCAACATTTTCGGGATTTTTTAATAGAAAAGTGAAATATTGTCTTTGAATTTAGGCTAATAACAAATTATACACTAAAAGTAAAACATTTAGAAAAATACATACCTTGGCAAAGCACTTTTGAAGAAATTATTAGCAATATAGATTTTCCAGACTTGCAGAACACAAAATCTTCAAGCACGAACATGTATAAATGATCAAGTAAAGAAATCTATACCAGTGACTATATATAAACAGACAGTCAACGGTTTTAGTTGTGGACCAATACCGATAGATGGCGTAGGACCAACAGACGTCGCTTGACCAAATGCAGTGGCGTAACAAGCATATTTGATTGGCATTCCTTAACTGTGCGATTAGCTTATCGCATTAAAAGTTAACGGACCGCTAAAGTTTTTTATCCTTAGTTTCAATTTTTGCAAACATTATTAAATATGATTTTTTTTCACGAAGTTGGTATTTAACAGTTTTCCTGTATTAAACATATAAAAAAATGATTTCACTAATGCACTTGTTGAGGACGTACACATAATAATGATGCCGAAATAATTAACTGCGATCACAATTTGTTTATAAAACTGCATTTTTTTAATAAATAAATTAAATTTCGATCATTTCATATGTTTAAAAAAAATTTTAAATCACCACGACATGTTTAGCATTTTATTGTGAGTTTTAGCAAAAAGGTAATGTTTTTTTTTTTGGTACGTTTGTATGCGCTAAGATATTGATTCAATGCTTATAGTGGTACCTATTTTTGCAACACTTCCTTGCACAAACGTACCAAAAAATTTGATCGAAGATTATTTCCACAGAACTTCCCTCATCCCTGAAGTACAGTACAACAAATTCAAATCAATTTTTTGCTGGGCTCATCACATTTGGTGATCTGTAATTTGTTTATAAAAACTTGGTCCTATAAACAAATTATAATTTCAGCATCATTTTATGCAAACGTCCTCAGCGAAGGCACCAGTGAAAGCATTTTCTAAACCATTTAAAAGTGTTAACAAAAACGTGTTTTACTACATCTTTGCAAAAGAAGCTCAGAATTTAATAACTTCTCCAACAATAAAAATTAAGGAAAAAAGTTGACTCAATTTGTTTGAACGATTACACCTCTACACTAATAAAAAAAATATTTGAACGTTAAAGGATCATTTTTATTGCTAGCAAAGTGAACTTTTTGTAAATGTACAATTAGTTTCTTAATCTAACTTAAAAAATACAGTTCTAACAAAAAAAGCTTTATTCCTTCTAAAAACTTGTACATACTCGTAAGTACACTTGTCATTACATAAGTACACACACATACCAGCACTACAGACCACAGAACTTACTGCAGACGTTGAGGACTCATAGCTTATAGGACGAACAAACCGAGCCGTAGTGAGTGGAATGCTTGATGATAATGTCTGGGTTCACATCTGCCTCACTACCGTACTGCCATGCTAGTCTATTATGAAATATTAGGTACCTAATTATTGTTATAAAAAATAAAATATGTATTTGATCACAAATTCTGCAAAATTGAAAGTTTGGTGCTTGGTTTAAAGGTTTTTTGAGCAGGTTGCCGTAAAGAGGTGCTCAGATATTTACATTTTTTATGCATAGAAACTGAAATTAAAAGTCTGAGAAAAAATTTTACGTGATTACCACATTCAGTCCGTTGAGTGATGTGCGGCAGTTTATTAGCAACATATTTATTAAAAATATGTTTCTGAAAAAAAAGTAGCAAATTTTTATTAGTATATTTTTGCCAGTTTCTGTCAATTATTCTCATTGAATATTTTACCAATTTCGTTATAGATTTCTGAGGCACCTTCAAGGTTAACTGTTTTTCAGTATCATAATTTTTATACAATATTAGCAATTGCGATGATTCTTTCAAATCACGAGTACCTAAGAAATTTTTTTTGCAAAATTCACAGGTAAATTTGTCCAACAACTTTTTCACTAAATATCCCCCGAAATATACCACTGAACAATCTTCTAGTGTAGCTTCTGACTGACTGGGACTGGAGTGAATTGATGATTCTTCTGATAATGATATAGATTCTTCATCACTATTGCCACTTTTTAATCTCTTCGAAGGTGAAGAAGAGAAAACATCCTCTTCGTCACCTTCGAAGAGATTAAAATCTTCATCGATCTCACAGTTTGATTGTTCTGGTGGTTTCATCAAATTAATCACCGTATGAGATTTAAAAAACCCATTAAATGTTGTAACTGTAGGATTTTTATTATATCCACCACGTTGTCGGTATATGGAAAAGAGGTTCTCAAGTGGGTCTTGGTTTAATCTGCCAGTTAGAATGTATGGCAATTCTTCACTCTTACATACATTATGTAACATTTTGATGGCTCTTATACTTTGGATCATACCAAGAAAACAAGGAGGAGTACTGATTTTCCCTTTAACAGTACACTTTTTTAAATTAGACATAATGTCTAAACCTTTACCGAGCGCACTCGTAACGTCTGTGTTATTATCTGCTAAAGGTCTATTCCATGGCTTCTTACTCCATGGAAACTTACTGTTAAGCGCATCAAACAATTTATCGATAGCATCTATAAAACCAGCAGTATGTGTTGCTTCCACTGATAGCTGTCTGCTGTTGACTGCAGTTTTTATGCCTGCTGCGACACTTTGACTAAACACTTGTGCAGCCAGACGAACACTCATCTTCTGGAAGTTGTTAGGTTTAATATGACGATCTGTTAATTTCACTAACGCTCTTCCAATTGTGCTAGATTTGTCTAAAATATAAACTTCCTCAATAAAAGACCATGAAATTATTTTTTCGTGCAACAGATAATTTCCAGACATTAAATTGTTACGAATACTTTTCAGCAAATGAGGAACATCATAAATACAATAAAATTCTTCATCATTAAGCTCAAAGTATGGCATTTCCGCTGTAACACCCATTAGTCTGAAACACTTCTGGTTCGTTGTAGACTGATCACACACAACTCCAAGCGGTTCCAGACCACTTTCTTTTAGATGCAGCAAATAGTTTTTTAGAATTTTCTCTAACACTTCAGCTTTTACACCATTTTCTGTAAAATAATATGAAATTGGTAGTTTCCAGTCACAGTAGATTCCTCTTGCCATCAATATTAAAACATGTTTAGCAGGTACAGCTCTTGAACCAAATTCACCCATGTTTTCAAAACCTAGTACTTCGCCAGATGTTTTTGAAAATTGTAGATCCTGTTTTATATCCATTTCGTCGAATAGAAGTATACATTTCTTTTCTTTCTCTTCCATTGTACGCGCTTTTTGTTGTAGTCGTTGAAATAATTTTTTGTTGTAACCTGGTTTGGTTTTATAACTTGTCAACATCAATTTTAATGTACTGACTGAAGGAAGAATAAATCCATTTCTTCTTAAAAACTTGTACATACTGGGTGATTTATAAAATAGTGATAAACTTGCTTCCTTTTCTTCTGTATTCCAAGGACTTCGCGGTGTGTGGAACATCTGCATTTGCACAACTATTTTCGGTAAAGAGGGTAGGTCTTCCAGTTTTCTTACAGCTTTTTTTGTACCACCACTTATTTCGCTTTCCGTACTTGAAGCTGCAGGAAGGTTAATCAATTTTGTTGTAAAAACAGGTGACTGCTTAGGTGCAACCATTTTGACCATATGTTCACTCTTATCAGGTGTAATTATATGCAAA